CATCCTGTGCATTAATGATTTGCTTGCGTTCCTCGTCGGTCTCTGCTTCATGCAGGTGGTCATAGTAAGTAGTGCGCCCGACTTGCACACGTCTCCCTCTGTGTCATCGACAGACACACCAATATAAGTTGGACATAGTATCACTCGTATAGATCTAGTTTTGGACCGAGAATGATTCCATTGAGAAAACAAAGTCTTGTTGAATTGGCTAGTATATGTACCTAGTAGATATAGGCCTAGTACTAAGAAGGATCAGTAAGTCATAGGCATCGACTAAGCCAGAGTATAGCAGTGCCGGAATTGTGCTTACCTGGGTGAAGTGCACACCTGAGTGCAATTGAAGATGCGAGTGCAATGTGATTGCAATGCAAAGTGTTGCGAAATCCGTGTAGTTGCGACACAAATGTGAAGGGAATGCAGAGTTCATGCAAGGGGCATGCGTTTGCATGCGCTGCACTCGCAAGAAAACAGGCGCCCATTGGTTATCAACTCTATCTACATGATTTGGCACTTTGTGTAATACTCTCGCACACTCTCACACGCTCCCGCAATGTCCGATGTTCACTGGGATTCATGCTTCCGTGCCCATTTGTTTCGGAGTGGTCCCCACACTGCTGCAAAGTGTTGTTGTTGTGAGTATGAATTTGTATGGTGACAGTGTGCTTACCTGGATTTTCTAGAGCCTGGTCTTTTGCTTTGTGTCATACTTGAACCAAGTGAGTTTTAACCTTGTTAACATGATTTTTTTTCTTACACCGTGAATGAGAGTCCATTGAAGGCAAGATAAGGTTGGAAGGAGTGAAAAATATGAAAAAATGAATGTGAGAGTGCCTTTCTGCTACAGAGAGACCGCTTCAAAAAGGTGAGTGAGTGTTTTCGATCAAGTTAGAGCCAGGTATTCAATTTGAAACAGTCAGCCTATTATACCATAACACTGAGCGCTGAGGCCAGGGTTGGCCTTTCCCTGTCTGGCTTAGTCTGCTATTTAGTGAGTTCATATTGGAAAACTTAAATGCAGCCTTACAAAGTCCTAGCGCTCACACTCATTCCCTCCCTTATTGGTGGCATGCTAACCGGATGCAAGACATTTCCTCCATTTACAGACTATCAAGAAGCATTCTCCTCTCCATTACCACCGTCTATGTTCGACATTCGACATGTCCAAGTACTATGGTGTTTCCTCCATTTACGAACTATCAAGAAGTGTTTTCCCCCCCATTACCACCCTCTATGTTTAGCATGTTTGACTACTACCATAACACTAAGCGCTAAGCCAGGGTTGACCTTTCCCTGTCTGGCTTAGTTTGCTATTTGGTGAGTTCATGTTCAGAAACTTAAACACAGCCTTACAAAGTCCTAGTGCACACACTCATTCCCTCCCTGGTAATGTTCCCGTCGATCAGGAACTTTCTTGTTGGTGGCATGCTAATCGGATGCAAGACATTTCCTCCATTTACGGACTATCAAGAAGCATTCTCCTCTCCATTTCCACCCTCTATGTTCGGCATGTTCAGGTACTATGGTGTTTCCTCTGTTTATGAACTACATGGTTTCGGTTCCGTCAGCCAGGCTAATCGGATGCAAGACATTTCCTCCGTTTATGGACTATCAAGAAGCATTCTCCTCTCCATTACCACCCTCTATTTTTGGTATGTTCAAGTGCTATTGCATTTCCTCCGTTTATGAACCATCAAGAAGCATTCTCCTCTCCATTACCACCCTCTATGTTTGATGTGTTCAGCTACTATGCTTGGCAAAAGTCATTTATCTATGCTGGCATGCACTGGACATATTTAATGAGGCTGATATTTGCTTCCATTGCTGCGAGATTCAGATTTGCCAATCTCCGAGCATGTAGCATATGGTCAGCCTAACCTTCACTGCCCTTGTATTGCTCCAGTGACTCATGGCACATTTTCCCACTGCTTGGGGTTCTTCTGGTCACCATCTTTTTGTGTCTGCTTTTATACTCACATCAAAGGTTATCTGTGACGACACTTACTTCAACAAATCCTGGAGTATTATAGTGCAGGGCATGTTCCAATTATGAGAAATTAACCAGATGGAACACGAGATGTGTCAGTATCTCCTTCCTCCTCAAAGACAATCCATCCTCCTACCACAAATCCCTTTCCGCCTCCTCCAGCTGCTTTGGCGCCCACACCTTCATATTGCCATCATTATCCTGTGCCACCAAAGCCCGCTTTCCCTTCATACTCTGCTGGACCTGCCAAATTAAGTCACATTAGGCTGAAAGGAGAAACTCTGATGCATTGCTTTACCTAAACTTTCTTTACTTCGGCAGAGCCTCACCATCTCTCTTCTCTGACCATCAGACTCACATACTTCTGATTCGTTCTTACTGTTGGGTCACAAGTTGTAAGTGATTTTTAGGCATTCAGTGTTCGATTTTTCATTGAATCTATGCAGAACATGCCTGAAATAATGTGTCCCTCCTGTGATAAAAAGCTTGCATCAATCACAGATTATAGCCAGCATCTCGTGAAAACCACCAATCCCGGCTGTTGTGCCCTCTACCTTTCCTCACGGCGATTTGCTTCAGACCCACCAGATGAAGGAGATTTCTTTGGAACATACACTGAGGACGAGCTCGCATGGCCAGGGTCAGATGTTGAGGGGGATGTTGGCAGGGCGCATATGGATGAAGATGACTCAGATCATGACATCAGCGATCATGACGAATGGGAACCTCCTGTAGTGCCAGTACCTGCATGTAACGAGCACAATGACGCCTCACACCCACCTACTGCAGATCAGGGCCAAGATGCTTGGCATACGGCTCAGCAGCGACTTCATGAACATGAACAGGTGCCCATAATCGTCTGTTACCCTGATATACGCCTGATATACGAGCCAGACAGCCTGTCAAAACCATCAAGCAGCCAAGCAATGCAACATACCATGCACAGCTTAATGGCGTGAGTGCAGACAACATCTATGCTCCATTTGCCTTGAAGCTTGATTGGGATATGGCTCAATGGGCAAAATTACGAGGTTCAAGCTCAACTGCATTCGATGAACTTGTCTCTATTGAGGGTGTAAGTCTGTGCTTCTGTCAAACACCAGGATCAATCTAATCCTAACACATCCAGCTTAGTGAAAAGATTGGTCTTTCCTTCAAGAATACACGGGAGCTGAACAAGATCATTGACAATGAACTTCCGGGTCGTCCAAAATTCAAATGTGATCAGATTTTTTTTTTTGAGAGGCCATATGTCTAATGGCAACTGTGCAAGGCTGGCCCCATTTCGAAGGCACATAGCACCTGAGTACATACCAGTCAGATATTAAACTATCCGACCAGTGATAGCATTTGTGTCAGGTGGAAGATTGCTATCTCTCCAGGAAGAAATACATTTTATGCATACCCATTGCTGGATTAGGCGGGTTATGTGGGACTAAGCAGCACTAGCACTACCCACTAAAACTCCCTGGTGGTTGTTGCAGGATTCGAACCTATGACCTCCTGACTAAGGCTGGCAACTGCCGAAGCAGTTCCAGGGTTGGAGGCATATCCACTCAGCCATCTGTCCCCCATGATCAGATTGTTGTCGCCAATGAAGTGTTTGATGTCTACTATTGCGATATCATTGAATGCATCAAGGCTCTTTTCAGTGATCTGAATTTTGCTGACTTTCTGGTCTTTGTGCCTGAATGCCACTATGCCGACAAAGATGAGATGATTCATTTATATCATGAGATGCATACTGGAAAATGGTGGTGGAATAGTCAGGTTGGTATTATATATCTTTCATGAGCTTCGATGTACAAGTATTAACACTGTATTCTCTAGAAACACCTAGACCGTGAGTGCCCTGGTGCTACAATAATTCCCATCATTATTTCATCAGACAAGACTCAAGTTACGTTGTTTTGCAACAAGACAGCATACCCCATCTACATGACTATTGGAAACATCCCAAAGGATATTCGACAGAAACCGTCATGCCAGGCACATGTCCTTCTTGCATACCTTCCAACAACTCGCCTCGAACATGTTACCAACAAAGCCGCTCACCGACAGATGCTCACCAACTTATATCACGCTTGTGTGGGACACGTACTTGCTCCACTCGCAGCTGCTGGCATCGATGGCATTAATATGCAATGTGGTGATGGCACAATGCATCAAGGACATCCCCTGTTCGCATGCTTTGCAGGAGACTATCCAGAGCAAGTTTTAGCTACTGGAGTCAAGACAACTCAATGTCCAAAGTGCAACGTTCCCTCTGACGAGCTTGGTCTTGCAGCTGGTGTTGCAAACTGGCAACCACGAGACCTGGGTGTGGTACTTGATGCACTCTGTGCTCTTGACAAAGGTGGATTGGCCTTTGTTTGTGCATGCAAAGATGCTGGCATTAAGCTGATTGTCCACCCGTTCTGGGAGGGACTACCCTTTGTCAATATATTTGAATCTGTAACTCCTGACGTTCTGCATCAACTCTACCAAGGGCTTATAAAGCATCTCCTTGCTTGGCTTTCCGATGCATGTGGCAGCACGGAGATTGATGCATGATGTTGATGCCTTCCCCCAAATCACCATATTCGACTATTTCTAAAGGGTATCACAAATATTTCACGTGTGAGTGGTACAGAACATAATTAAATTTGCCGTTTCTTGCTCAGCATCATCATCGACATCAATCTAGCTAACATGTCTTCGGGTCGACTCCTCCATGCCGTCCGTGGTCTGCTAGACTTTTTATACCTTGCTCAGTACCTGTCTCACAGCTCTGAGACACTGGTTTTACTTGATGAGGCACTTAACCTTTTCCACGACAACAAGGACATCTTTATCGACCTCAGCATTCGGAATTCTTTAACTTGCCGAAGCTCCACTCCACAGCTCACTACGCTCACATGATTTGAATGTATGGCACTACGGACAACTACAATACTGAATACCTCGAACACCTTCACATTGACCTCGCAAAAGACACTTATTGCTGTACGAATTACAAGAATAAGTTCGCTCAAATGACAACTTGGCTTGAATGGCGGGAGAAAATATTACGACACGAGAAATACATTCAGTGGAGACTCATTGGAAATGACACATGTCCGCATCATCAGCCCCATCCCCCAGAAATGACATTTTGTCATACTCAAACGATGATGAAACATCCTACCATCAAGGCAGTCACATTGGACAAGGTCGTTAACAAATATGGCACCACACACTTTAATGCATCTCTCGCACATTATGTTGCAAAAGTCACACTTCCTGCCAACACTACTGTTATGGCCAGGCAGCTCGAAGATCAAGCATCTGATATACACATCCCATTTCGAACACTACCAGTCTTTCACAAGGTGAAATGGCTCTCAGCTGATGTTCGTGGTCATGGTGATCCTCTGGTCACAGTTGATAGCGTCCATGCACGTCCTGGACATTCAGGAACATTTGTGTCCGACAGTGTTGCACCACGATTTGATACTGTGTTTGTTAATTATGGTACAGGCGGGTCACTTGGCGTCAAAGGTGAGCGCTCTGAATTATGCTATTGACTTGGTACTCAGTGGTTACTATTCAGGATATCGAATTGTGCAAGTCTGTGTTATATTCTCAATCCCTCCCAAAGCCATCCCAAAACTTTTCCTGTCCACATTCTAGCCTCCAAAATATCTTGCATACGTTGAATGGTTCTCTTGCCTTCCGTGTACCTGAGCAAGATCACAGCTTGCACAAGGTCTCGCGCATCATCAAAAACGGAGAATGAATGGCCAGCATTATACCAATCGACAACATTTGTTGTTTTTCATTGGCTTTAGATGCCTTTTAGATGCAAAATTGTGCTTAAATGTTACAATTAGGCGGGATGAATAGGGATCTAATTGCATCGAATGCTGTATATATGTGTATCACTATCATTAGGATCTAGTATGGGTATTGCTGCCCTCGCACCTGCCTCCGCCATTCCGCCCATCCCGCCAAATCTCCATGCATCACTCCTTGTCTGCATTGTCAATGGCGGCAGGAAGTCCAGCTGATTGGAGCTATAAAACAAACTGTTGTTAGTATAAACATAAGCTAGAATAAATACCACACACCTGTTGAACCACTTTGCGCTTGTATGCCTATGAGAGCAGTAGTCAGTAGATAAATGAAATCAATATTAAAATGATGTACCTCTTTGTTAGTGCTCGATAGGCCGTTCCAGAAGATTGCGAAGATGCTTGCTGGTTCCTTTTGATGGCCATTCAATTGCCAATCGAGGGCACAAAGATTCCTAGAAAGATATTATTAAGATTGCTTGCTGTGAAAATACTAAATAGAACTCACCACGCTGTGATCTTGGGGCTCATGCACATTGGCTTAGTACTCAGCTGTTGCTTCTTAATTGGTTGGGCCTTCGAGTCGATCATATTAGAAGGAATGGACATTGCGGGGTTTGCTTCCAGGAGTTCCATCTTGACAGCCAGGGAAGATGCATCAGTATCTGATAGGTTATTGGATGGAGGGGCGGTTGTAGTTGACTTGGAGGTAGTAGTTCCAGAAGTCAAAGAGTTGGCGACACAAGTAGAAGTAGGGACCTTCTTTGTGATCGGTTTGGGGTGAGGTTTGAAGACAATATTAGAACATAATTGATAGCATCAGTAGGATCAATCAATTAATAGAACGATCACTCACATCAGATTGTTGATTTCTACAGCAATCACTTCCTTCTCTTTTCCCTTGTCAGCACGGGGCGGTGGAGTTGGCGCGCGTTCGGGTGAAGGGTGTCACAGGGTTTCTGAGTTCTCAGTGTGGGGTGACACAGGTCATGTAATCTACAACAGTTAATAAATAAAAAGGACTGCAAGTTCGGCTTACCAGAGGAATATACAGATAATCATCATCAAGATCCTCCACTTCAACTCGTTGTCTTTTCAACACTGGTTCTGCAAGAGGGTCGATACCAATGTGGACTCATTTCAGAGAAGGCGTTGAAGAAGAGGATGAAGGAGGGGTAACTGCAGGCATTGAAGAAGATGACAAAGGAGGGGTAACAGCAGGCATTGGGGACTCGTCTTCAGACTTGATAGTTTGCTTCTTCACGACGTGGTGTAGTGGTACCATTGGGAATAGTTGTTGATCATTAATTTCATAGCTTTCCAATTATCAGCACACAGACGGAATTCAAAGTAATGTTTGCGTAGCATATGAATCAGCCAGTGTATGACTTTGAGCGATGCTTGGCCAATGGACTGAGGCGCGAGACCTTGAGATTCGAGTTGTCGAAAACATGACAGCATGAAAAGACGAATAGTTTTTGCCCGTTGTGCAGAAACAGGCTGCCCAGCTTCGTCCTGCAGATAGGTACATGCTACATTGATGCCACGTGCCATGCACGTGGCCCCTCGCTTCTTGCCAGAAGATCCAGGATTGGCTGATGTACTTGATGGCATGTTCTCCTGCCAGTCTTTCTTTGTCCATGATTTGACTGTTGAGGTCACAATCAGAATCTTCATGAGTGACATCCAAAAGATTAAGTTTTCAGTCCGCAGTACCATCACTTGCGACAGACAGAGACGAACTTGAGGCAGTTGAGCTAGCTGAACCTTGACTATTAACAAGTATAGTCCTGTTAGGTTTAGCATGATATCATTGATCACATCAGCAAACACGGTGATAGCGCATATATGCGTGCGAAATGACTTCAACTTACTGTAAGGTTTCACACTTTGTATTCAGACATAAGTTTTCGTTGACGAGCGTCACTTTCTCTGACTGGAGAAAGGCAACTGTGTGCTGGAGTTTGGATATCTCTTGCTTCAATTGTGAGATCATGCTGTCATCAGGTAAGGGATCCAGATCAAGAAGGGCCCAGAGCCCTTCGTTCGACGTCGAAGACTGCCACATGTATCTAATTAATGTAATATTAGGTGTATCTGATAGAACTCACGGTGTTATTGGTATCACAATCACGCCGGGTGAATTGAATATGATGCAAGCTCCTGAAATTAAACTGCAGATCAAGAGAATGTTGTGGAGAAATTTGAGACATGAGGATATTGGCGTATCCTGTTGGTGAAATCGCTGTGTTGGACATAATGATGGTGTGATGAGAAGGGGCGCTGCGGTACAAGTCAAGAAAGGAAATTGACAAGTCCAACTCATCCTACACTAAGTTCAGCTTATTCTATAGTATCATCAATCCATCCTCCGTTGATGTCTTTTGATCATGATACTGATGGTTATGATGCTGATACAAGGTATGTTCTTCATCACTTCTAACGCTGTAACCACTAACATTGTACCTTAGCATATCTTTTTCAGACAGTTGTTCCAGCACACCAAAGATGACACCCTTGGATGATATGCTTCTCAACCCCACATACCGGCAAGCACATCTGGAGAAAGAACATATGATTAGGCAGCAACTATTGTGAGTTCTCATTGTATTATTGCACAGTATCTTAGCTCAAGAATTTGTATCTACTAAGGCATCACCCACACACCTTACCTCCCTGGCCTGACGATCCCGAAAGCATCACCAAACCCGAAAGTGACCCACCACAGCAAGTCATCATTGCTCCCCCTCGTCCCAATGACCTGGATAATATCACTGAGCCCGAAAGTGATCTGCCGCTGCAAGCTACTGCTCCTCCTTGTGTAGTCAATCCAGATAGTGTCACCAAACCCAAAAGTGACCCACCGCCGCAAGTTGTCACTGCTCCCCTTCATATGGATGATCCTGAAAGTGTGACTGAGCCCGAGAGTGACCCACCACCGCAAGATACTGCTCCCCCTCATGTAGATGACTTGGACAGCGTCACCGAACCTGAAAGTGACCCACCCGAGCCAACTATCACTGTTACTTCCACACCCAAAGCCACCATTGCCAAATGGAAGTCTATATTCGCAACGCCAAGCCCACCCCCACCCGGATCAATTTACTGGAAGTATGTGTCACGGGAGGAGGATAATGCATGGTATGACCAATCGCATTCAGACAAGGATTTTCTCGTGGTTCATGCGATGAAACGAGAACTCGAAGAAAAATCTTAGTGCACAGTATGTGTTAGTGTAGTGATACATTGAATAAACGGGATTACATCTCATTAAAAAAAGAACTCAGTCCTTGTCAAGAATCCCCTCCTCTTCCGCTCCACTCATTCTTATTATGTCCAGTCCTGGGCGCTCCATGAGGTAGAAAAGAATACCATCAATACCCGGAAAACTGTGAGGAATCATAGTGTTAAGACCGTACTCAAGTAGTATCGGATCCGAAGGGCTTCGGCCTCAGCTCGTGCGCTGTGCCCCTTTCCCGAGTCTTGCCCCTTATTTCAGAGAGCTGAAGTATCACGTCTAGTGAAACGGATAAGTATTGCAATGGATCTGTTAAGACTTCCGGATATCGAATGTATAGAGTAACGGCCAATCCGGATCGGATCCGGACTAGAAACTAGCGGGTGAGGACTGTCCGAAGACAGAGGCGGATATGTGGACTATAGGAATCTATCCTAAGTCTCGGAGTAGACAAGAGTAGCGTACTCAAGTCCGGATGGATAACGGAGGGACTCAGAGTCCAGACGGAATGAGTGCAATCTAAGATGATATTCGAACTGATCTACTACAGCGCATATACAAAGGTTTATATACTACGGATAGCTAACGGAATGATCAATAAGCAAAGGTGCGAGGCTATGTACGAAAGTATAAGCAAAGTCTAAGTGGAGCGTATTGGTAAGTTGGATGGATCACGAATCATGAACCGGGAATGAAGTACAAGTAAAAGCGGATTCGTAAGTGTAGCGGATCAGTAAGCATAGCGGATCAGTAAGCAAAGCGGAAGTAAAGGATAACCGGTATACCGGTGTACAGGAATACCGAAAGGAGATGAACGATAGTTAGAGTTATATGAACAGGAAATGAAATAAGAATCAAAGCGGATCTGTGGACCGGACGATGGATATGTTCATCGGATCTGGATCGGATCTGAGATCCAGATCATCGGATCTGTAACCGGATATATGGTATATGACACATAGCTACCACAGACTGTATAGTATGAACCTCCACAAGTTTCAACGAAGTGTCTCCATTATAATGACAGGCAAAGACCATTTGAAACAAGTTTTTGAATAGGTCGGTGTGTGGTTGGCCAAATTCAGATGAGCCCCTTCAGTGACAAATCCCGTATTATACGGGCCAGCGGATTATGGGCCGATGTTATGTATATTCCCGATGTTGACGGGTGGGCCGGGAGGCATATTATTTCCGATGGAGACGGGTGGGCCCATCTATGCTAATGTTATATATATCATCGATGATAGCGGATGGGCCGGGAGAAATATTATTATGGAGATGGGTGGGCCCATGTGGGTAATATGTAGAGTAGGATTGACATATATTATAGACCTGAGGAGAGATGTATAGCAAATAGTATTATATAGACGTGTGGGCTGACGTATTAGTATTATTTTGTAGACGGATGGGCCGAGGGAGCGGTGAAATATTTATTAGATAGACGGGTGGGCCGACGTGGGGTAATATCAGATAGACGGGTGGGCCGAGGGTGAGGGGAATTATTTATTACATAGACGGGTTGGCTGATGTGGGGTAATATTAGATAGACGGGTGGGCTGAGGGTGAGGTGAGTTATTTATTAGATAGACGGGTGGGCCGACGTGGGGTAATATCAGATAGACGGGTGGGCCGAGGGTGAGCGGAATTATTTATTACATAGACGGGTGGGCCGACGTGGGGTCATATTAGATAGACGGGTGGGCCGACGTGGGGAATTCTACATAGATGGGTGGGCCGACGTCGGGTAATATTAGATAGACGGGTGGGCCGAGGGTGAGCGGAATTATTTATTACATAGACGGGTGGGCCGATGTGGGGTCATATTAGATAGAAGGGTGGGCCGACGTGGGGAATTCTACATAGATGGGTGGGCCGACGTCGGGTAATATTAGATAGACAGGTGGGCCAAGGGTGAGGTGAATTATGTATTAGATAGACGGGTGGGCCCAGATACATATCATATAGACAGATAGGCCTAGGTATTGTACATTTTTACGAGTTTCGACGCTCGAGTTAAGAAAATTCAAATTTAAGATGATATACATTTTTGTTGTCTTGAAATACCGAGACCCAAGACCCGAGATTCGGCACTCGGTAGTCGGTGAAATGAGTACAGAAATACATAAGATAATACACATTGTTCTCAGAAATCACAAGTTTCAAATGTCAATTTGTAAATCACGAGTCACAAGTCTCGAGACTCGAATCACCGAGTACCGAGTACTGAGAACCGAGTATTGACACCTGACACCCGGAATTCGGCACTCGGCATGCGAGACAAAAGATTGGAAACAAAACTCAAAATTTGAAACTCGAAAGTACTGACTACCAATACCAAGTACCGAGTACTGAATCTCGGGTCTCGGTACTCGGTATTCGGTACTCGACACGATGCTTGAAACTCGTAAAACTGTTTCAAATCACCGAGTACTGACCACCAAGTACCGAGTACCGAATCTCGGGTCTCGGTACTTGACACAATGCTCAAAACTCGTACAACTGTTTCGAATCACCGAGTACTGACTACCGAGTGCCGAGACCCGAGATTCGGTACTCGGTACTCGGTAGTCAGTACTCGGTGATTCGAAACAGTTTTATGAGTTTTGAGCATCGTGTCGAGTACCAAATACCGAGTACCGAGACCTGAGATTCGGTACTCGGTACTCGGTACTCAGTAGTCAGTACTCGGTGATTCGAAACAGTTTTATGAGTTTCGAGCATCGTGTCGAGTACCGAGTCCCGAGTACCGAATCTCGGGTCTCGGCACTCGGTAGTCAGTACTTGGTGATTTGAAACAGTTTTACGAGTTTTGAGCATCGTGTCGAGTACCGAATACCGAGTACCGAGACCCGAGATTCGGTACTCGGTACTCGGTAGTCAGTACTCGGTGATTCGAAACAGTTTTATGAGTTTCGAGCATCGTGTCGAGTACCGAATACCGAGTACCGAGACCCGAGATTCAGTACTCGGTACTTGGTATTTGGTAGTCAGTACTTTCGAGTTTTGAATTTTGAGTTTTGTTTCCAATCTTTTGTCTCGCATTGAGATATGAGCAAAATACTATATACCGGGTGAATTTCAGTATTGGAAGTTTGATGCTTTCGATGTTATTGATGTCGGGTCTTGATGCTTTCGGGCATTAACATGTAGATAGCCCTCGATCTCAGGGGTGTGGCAAAATTTAGATTGTCTGAAACAGATATAATTTGAGTGAGATATATGCAAAATACCACACACTGACTACCGAGGGCTGAGTACCAAGTGCCGAGTGCTGAGTGCCGAGTTCCGAGTTCCGAGTTCCGAGTGCCAAGTACCCCGATGCTCTCGGGTATTAACACCCAGATAGCCCACGCTCTCAGGTGCCTGTCAGAATTTAGATCATCTCAAACGGATGTGATTTGAGTGAGATATGAGCAAAATACTATATACCAGCTGAATTTTGGCATCAGAAGTTCGATGCTTTCGATGTTTTTGATGTCGGCTCTCGATGCTTTCAGGCATTGACATGCAGATAGCCCTAGATCTCAGGGATTCATCAGAATTTAGATAGTCTTAAATAGATATGATTTGAGTGAGATATATGCACAATCCAAGATACAGGGTGAATGAGTCCCAAGTGTTGAGCGCCAAGTGCTCAGTTCTGAGTTCCGAGTGCCGAGTGCTGAGTGCCCCGATGCGTTCAGGCATTCAATCACTGTCAGGAGGTGTTCCCTCATCCACCTCAGTGCCATCAGTGTTGCAATCAAGCTTTCTGCCGTGTGCTGAGTGCCGAGTTCCGAGTTCCGAGTGCCCCGATGCTTTCGGGTATTGACACCCAGATAGCCGTCACTCTCAAGGGCCCGTCAGAATTTAGATCATCTCAAACGGATGTGATTTGAGTGAGATATGAACAGAATACTATATACCGGGTGAATGTTGGCATCAGAAGTTCAATGCTTTCGATGTTATTGATGTCGGGTCTCGATGCTTTCGGGCATTGACATGTAGATAGCCCTCGATCTCAGGGGTGTGGCAAAATTT